TTTAATTTCAAATCCATAAAAAATCAGGAACTCTAACTCTTAAAATGAAAGCACACATACTTGCTTCCCCACTAAAAAAAAAGAAAACAGTCATCTCACTAGCCAGATGGACAAGGAGAGTGCTATAATATCACATGGAGATGGGCACACACCTGTAATCCCAGCTACTCAGGAGGCTGAGACAGGAGGATTACAAGTTTGAGGCCAGCCTGGGCAACTCAGTGAGACCCTACCTCAAAATAATATTTAAAATGAGGTGAGGGATGGGGATGTAATTCTGTGGTAAGGTATTTGCATACCATTTACGAGGCTCTGGGTTCCATTCCCAGTACTGCAAAAGAAAAAAAAAATTATGTCGATAGAATTGGTCCTAGAAAAAAGAGCTTATGGACCAGTTTTCCAGACCCAAATGTGTCTGCTGCCTTGCAATAATAATGAGCATTTATCAAGTACTACATGCTGTGTATTGTACCTCATGCATATTTATGATGTTTTCTCTTTTTATCTACACAATAACTGTATATGTAGGTGTTATTTCCATTTTATTCATAAAGAAACTGAAGTTTAGAGTGTGATAGGAACATTCATGAAGTCCCATGGATTCATTCTCAGCAAAGCCTTAAGCACAGAAGATTTTCATTTCTCCACCAGGCCAAGTCAGACAGATCTGGAAAATCTGAAGTCCTGTTTCCAGGGTCTTTTTTCTGATGACGGAGGACTTTTTTAAAGTTCGTTCGGTGAGCAACATTGGTCACTGAACTCCACAGTCTCCACTCCCCTCCATGGACAGAATATTTTCTCTCCAGTGAAGGGTACAAATACATCTTTTCAGGAAAGAATAGACCTACCTCAAAGAGAGCAGGGCAGAGTAGTAGTTAAATGAACCATTCTGGAAACAGTGAGCAGATGTACTACTTACCGACTGGCCACCTAGGCAGAGTATGTAAATTCTCCATGCTTCAGTTTCCTCATTTTTTTTTTTCTTTTTGGTGGTACTGGGAATTGAACCCAGGGTCTCATTTATCAGTTTCCTCCCTTCTAAAAGAAGGAGAAACATAACTACTTCATGGGCTGTCGTGAGGCTGAGTAACTGCAAAACACACACACACACACACACACACACACATACACACACACACACACACAGAGATCTTAGTTTCATGTCCTTTCTTCAAATGCAGCAACCTGTCCATCTCTGGAATGGCAAAAATAGTCTCCATATCTTTAGCCCTTCCCTACCCATGCCCTCTACAATGTTACTTTGTAGCACCATCCATCAAAATCTACTTCCCTATTGAATCTGGGCTGGGCTTGCAGTTAACATGGACCAATGGGATGTGATGGAATTGATGATGAACTGGATTCAAACTCAGGCCTCACAAAATCTTCCATGCATCCCCTTTCTCAGAACTTATAATTAGAACACACCAATAATCCCAGCAACTAAAAAGTTTGAGGCCAGCCTCAGCACTTTAGTGAAACCCCTGTCTCAAAATAAAAAGGAGTAGGAATGAGATATGGCTCACTGTTAAAGTGCCCTGTGGTTCAATCCTCAGTACAACAACAAAAGCAAACAAAAAACAACTTGTGATTTGGTTTCAGCTAGCCTGCTGGAAAATGAGAGACCATGTGGAAGGGAACCCAGTTGTGCCACCTGAGGCCATCCACTGTATATTTAACCAATCCCCAAACATGCAGAAGAACCCAGCTGAGAACAGCCAGGGAGCAGGATAATGTCGAAAGCTCTTCATACCAATAGTCTTCTAGAACAATGTCAGTCAACATTCCAGGATATGGGAACAACACAGGCAAATCAAAGTCAGAAAAATGGGGTGTGTTTAGAGAACAATGACTGGTCTATTTTGATAGACAGGTTGTGCTCAAGGGGTAAATGATAAGTAATGGGAAGCGGCTGGGTAGAAGGGCTTTGTCATTTCTGTCCAGTTTACTAGGTATTGAGAGGCCTCTATGTGTATAACATGTTCATTTTCTCCTTACCATGCCATGATGGTCCATGCTGAAATTTCCAGTTACAGAAAAGAAACCTGTGGTCAGAATTTGAATACAGGAAATCTACCCTCAGAGCTTGCTTTGTCTTCATAGTGTAAAACTATATCTGGGAAACCTGATACAGACAACAGCTGTGAGGATACAGTACTTGGCCAAGAAAAAAAAGAATCAGGGCCTGACTGAGGAAATAGCTATGGCATGGACAGCTAGCAAGCACCACTAGAGGAAGAAGTTGGGCTACAGGGCTGGGCAGTAGATGGAGCAAACAAAAGGAGCAAAGTGATTTATGTCATCATCTGACACTAATGCAAGCCTATTGATTCTGAAATGCCTGTTTGGGGTGAACACATGGAGAATAGCATAGAGAGCTTCATCCCAGTTTCCTTGTTTGTAAAAAGAAATGCTGCATTAAACACTTTTGGATTCAATAATAAAATAAAATGAAATAAATAATTTTAAAAATTTAAAAAATACTTTTGGAGTCTGAGTTTTACTTGAATGTGATTTTTATTGGTAGTCAATGCAAAAAAATGCATTGAACTTGAATATCCTTTCACTCAACAATACTGAATTTTTTCCTATTTGAAACTTTTGCCAAAAATTAAGATTTTTATTAGTTTTGCATCTATAAACTTTTGAAAATCTAGTTTAAAAATAAATCTAGCTGGGAGCGGTGTTACATGCCTATAATCCCAGAGGCTTGAGAGGCTGAGGCAGGAGGAGGATCAAGAGTTCAAAGCCAGCCTCAGCAAAAGTGAGGCGCTAAGCAACTCAGTGAGACCCTATCTCTAAATAAAATACAAAATAAGGCATAAGGCTAGGGATATGGCTCTGTAGTCTAGTGCCCCTGAGTTCAATCCCTGGTACCAAAAAAAAAATAAAAATAAAAACAAATCTTATTTTTTGTCCCTGCTTTAAGTTTTCAGTTTCTACAGCTTGGTGTTTTCGTTTTTGTTTGTTTGTTTTGTTTGTGAAAATTAAAACCTCAATTTAGAAAGAAAAGGAGAAAAGTAGCTAAATATTTATTTTATACCCACTGTGTACCTGGCATTGTGTGTGTATGTATATGTGTGCATGTGTATATTTAATAGGTTAAATAGTTTGACCAGAGTTAAAAGCTAATTAAGGACATAGCTGGCAAAAGGAAGTAAAATGAGCTTTATCTTTCATAGACTTCCTATTCACTGGTGTTTTTATGACAATGCTGACTAATAAGAGATGAGGGTAATAAATGTTCTCTTTCCCAGAACAGAAGTGTTTGAAAACACTGTTTAAAGATTTATGCTTCCACTCAAAACAGAAGATTCAGTCATGTTGCTAAATGTCATAGAAAAAAAGGGCCCAAATTGCAGACTGATGTAAAACAGATGTGAATTTAAATATGTGTTCTGCCATTCTCTGTTGGCAAGCTACCTAACCAATCCAAAACACAATTTTCTCAACTGTAAAATCCAGAATAATGAAAGGTCACTCACAAGGTTATTATGAAGACCAAGAGGAGAATATATCCATGAATACATCTATGCCATATCTGTGAGGTACTTAACAAACAGTACTTTCCTTCTTCCTTCCAAAATCTTTCAGGTGTTAGAATTTATCACTGATGTGTGAACTTCAGGCAAAGAATATTTATCATATCTCATTTAGTTAAAGATCAACTTATTGAATTTGAATTGGTGATACATTATTAGCTTAATAGTAAAATACAAAATCCATCAAGTGGTTTTATTTTTTTTTTTTCAAATCTCTCCTAGGTAGGTAACTAAAAGACTTATGAAAGTTAATTACTAGTCTGAGTGATAAGAACCCATTAAAATGTATAGGTGAAATATGTTCGATACACCACACATTCAGCACATGCAGGAAACTGGAAACCCTGACCCAGGTGACTCACTGATGTCAACTCCCATCTCGGTCATCACCCCTGATTCATTCATTCATGGTACTGTAAATCTAAGTGGCATACATATGGAACAAAGATTTAAATTCATATGTAGTCCTCTCCCTGAGCAGAAAGTAAAACAGAGTGTTTATTAGTAAGCTAACAATCTAGAAAGACCATTGTTTTTAGCTCTTCTTTTTTTCCATTGCCTATTTTTTCTTTAAATACTCCTTTCTCCCCTAATCAACATGTTCATTCCAAAAAGTATGTGATTAATTCATCCTTGTTAAAGCATAAATAGATGATAAAGCTTAATGTCTCCAAGGAGTATTTATTTGTATCATAACCAGGAATAAGGTCACTGGCTTCAATGAAAAGAATTCAAGTCTAATGAGGAATGTTAAACATCTATAAAACAACAAGGAAGAACAATTTTAATTTTGGGAGCCTTCATACTTCTCCCTAAATCAAATCAACAGGACAGCACTGGCATTTTAAGAAGGACATGTCTACTAGATGCCCCTAAAGCTCTTTTATATAATCCCCCAAATATTATTTTTCATAGTAGGTACTCAGGAAACACCAATTAGAACTTTAAGGCCTTCATTCTGGTTAAGCCACTTGTCACCACCATCACCACCATTATGACTACTACCAAACCACTGTCACTAGCTTCTAGGGATTTTCAGCTACGTCCTGGGAATTGTCGTTAAAGATGAGAGCATGTTAGAGGCAGGGGGTGTGGCTGAGTGGTAGAGGGCATATCTACCACATATGAAGCCCTGGGTTCAATTCCCAGCACCACCAAAATGTGAAGAGGCCAGTGTGAGTGAGAACAAATGCACATTTGGGAAGGGTCACTGGGTGAGGTGGAGACAAGCCTCCTCTGTTAACATATGAGCCAAATCCCACTACTCAGAACTTAGTTGCCAATAAATCAGAGGAAGACCACAGCAAAGCCAACCTGGAGCTCAGAAAGGAGAGTCCTTTCCATGTCTGATCAAGTCTCCATAATATTTGCAATATCTCCCCACTGGAATCTCTACCCAAACACTAAAGTTCCCTCTAGGTGGGATGAGGGAAGGACTACTGAGCTAGTGTAGCTTACCTGAGATCCATATCTCCATCAACCCAGAAGGTGAAAATGTTCGAGATGGTTCCCCCGGGACAGCACCCCATGATGAGAACAGCAATAGCGTGGACTGGCTTCAGAGAGAAGCTGATGGCCAGGAGATAGGCTGTCAAAGGCATGAGCCCAAATTGGCAGAGCAGTCCCACAGCAATGCCCCATGGTCTCCTGATGTGCCACCAGAGCTTTCGGATCTCCACAGAGCATCCCAAGGAGAACATGAGCAGACCCATCATAACAGCTGACACCACTGTGAAAACAAGTCCCAGGCTCCCCTGTGCCTCCGGTCCCACAGTCAGCTCCTCCTCTGAACTGTTGGCAGGGCAGGCTGAGCTGCTGGAACAATTTGCTCTCATCTCCTCATCTCCTTAAGACAGCATTGCAAATGAACATCGGCAACCACGGCTGGGCAGGTCTATCCTGCCACATTTTGTAATAATGCAACCAAGTCACACGTGGAGAATCATTCCAGTCTCTATTGGCCAGCCAGGTGATTCATGCTAATTTGATCAATTTATTCACAAGTGGCATTATAAAAGTAATGAGCCTAGGCGTGAAACATATAATAAACTGTGGTAGGAAAGGCTTTCCACTTCTCTTCTTACTCACCACTGAATAATCAAGGGCAATGAGACAAGCAAACTTATTGTCAAGTGGAGGGACGGGGCTATGTCGTCAACATCACACTGTTCCAGGAAAGCACGTCAGACGCCAAGAGACAAGTTCTCCAAATTCAGTAGGGATTTCAAGGAGCCGGGATGCAATATTATGTGAGAGAAGGCTGACTCCGGAAAAAAAAAACAAAAGACTGCTCTGCCAGAGCCACGCCTCAGAGCATTAGCAAAGCATTTCTGTAGGAAATATTAAAGCAAAATGAGGCCAGTTAAGGAAACGTGGGGGAATAAGGAAAATTTCAAGACATCTTTCAAACTGGCCTCAGTTTTTCTTTCTGTTTTAATGGAAATGTGGGTCTAAAGCCAATAATGAAACACCTGAAAGAATAATGTGGTTTCAAGCACCTGATTGTGTCCCATGAAATGTGGAAACTCGCTTCTATACACAAAACAATTCAAGAGAGCTGTCATTTGCTTTTAGAAATTCAAGTCTGATTTGAGATGCCACGCCCCTGGTCTACTAGGGAAAGCCTGGAATTCCTGCAAGGGAATCTAGTAAAGAGCTTAGTCTGGAATCCAGAGATGGGGTCTGAGGATAGCCCCAGGTGCTGACCGAAATGCCCCAGGTGCCCCTTTGTGCTTTATAACTAGACATGTTGGTGAAACCAGATGAGATGATGTGGTTCCTTGAAATCAAACCTCCAAAAAAGCAGGTGCCACACCTTTTCTCACAGACAGAGTTTATTTGTGGGGCACAGGCTGGCAACAAGGCACACTTTATCAACTCCTGGACCTGTCTCAAGAGGGATGCTGGCTATGCATGGTTGGTTCCTGGAGTGAGTTAGGTTTCTGGAAAGCCCTGTGTTCTCAGCTTAAAATGATGCAGAGGTGTGATCAGGCTAAGAAGGAATGGAGGAGGAAGAGAACAAACATTTTCTGAGCGCTTCTGGGTGATAGGGATATCCTAGGTGCTTTACTCAAGAGTGGCTGTGTCTAGTGAAGAAGAAACTTATTTTTTTTTTAATTTCCTAATTTAGAGAGAGGAGGTGTCAGATGTTTCTGTCTAGATAATTTCTAAAAGTCCCTTAACCAACTAATCTTCTGTATCTGGCCTCAGACTCACTTGAATGGCCCTTCTTTGTTACACTAGGTTAACTAGGCACCCCACCTGGCTATTCCCAAAGAGGCTGGTGTTATAGGAAATTTTGTGATGTGATGAGTATTCAGTGCTAATAGCTATGTGAGGGGGATAAATTTGCCTAGGGGCCTTGTGGGGGGAAGTGACTTTGGCTGCTTGCCTTTTGAAATTTGGTGTTATCAAAAAAATCTCAAAAGAGTTAGAATGGATCCAACTGAGGTTGGCTCTCAGGGAAGGATACCAAGGTCCTGTTACCCAGCAAGAATGAGAGGAGTATCCTGACTGGTAAGAGTTTCCACTGGATACTGACACCCTGGCACAGATGTCACAGAGGGATACAGGACCCAGGACTGATGGGTGTAACCCCAAAAGAAGTACCTTGGAGAGCCTAAGCTTGGGCACCACCATGAAGTGTGTGAGGATAGGACCAGAGGGGCTGGTGGCAGTGATTGAGGGGACCAGTGCAACAAAAGGTCCTGACAAAATAGCAACTGAAACCACATGGAGAGCCATTGCAGAGCTATTAAAATGTAAACATTATTTTAACAAGGTGAAATGTTTATAATCAAAGGTTAAAAAAAATCAAGATTAAGACAGGTACAATAGCATAATATACCTATAATTCCAGCTACTCAGGAGGCTAAGGCTGGAGGTACACAAGTTTAAGGCCAGCCTGGG